GCTGGCAAAACTGGATGTCCATCTGCAAAAAAAATGAAACAGGACCCATACCTCACACCATACACAAAAACTAATTCAAAATGGATCACAGACCTAAATATAAAGCCAAAGAAAAAAATATGATCAATGCTAGAGGCCGTAATACACGGCATTAACAGCATACAAACCATAACCAACAACACACAAACTCCAGAAGATAAACTGGATAACTGGGATCTTCTAAAAATTAAACACTTAGGCTCATCAAAAGACTTCAGCAAAAGAGCAAAAAGAGAACCTACAGACTGGGAAAAAAATTTTGGCTATTACAAATCAGACAAAGGTCTAATCTCTAAAATCTACAAGAAATCCAGCACCTCTACAACAAAAGACAAATAATTCAATTTAAAAATAGGCAAACGAAATGAATAGACATTTCACCAAAGACATTAAAACAGCCAACAGACATGTGAGGAAATGCTCACAGTGACTAGCCATTAAACCCAAAACCCACTGCTATGGAGTCGATTCCGGCTCACGGTGACCCTGTAGGACAGAGTAGAACTGCCCCATATGGTTTCCAAGGAGCGCCTGGTGGATTCGAACTGCGGACCTTTTGGTTAGCAGCTGTAGCTCTTAACCACTACACCACCAGGGTTTCCCACTAGTGATTAGAGAAATGCAAATCAAGACCACAATGAGATACCATCTCACCCTGGCATTACTGGCACAAATAAAAAAAACAGAAAATAACAAATGTTGGAGAGGCTGTGGGGAGATTGGAACTCTTACGCACTGCTGGTGGGAACGCAAAATGATATAACCATTTTGGAAAACGATATGGTGCTTCCTTAGAAAGCTAGGCATAGAAATACCATATAATCCAGCAATCCCACTCCTAGGAATATATCACACAAATAGACATAGGCACACCCATGTTCACGGCAGCATTGTTCACAATCGCAAAAACAAAGAACCTAGATGCCCATCAACAGATGAATGGATAAACAAACTATGGTACATACACACAATGGAGTATTACCCAACGATGAAGACTTGAATTTTGTTGAGAAGTTTTGCACCTATATTCATAAGAGATATTGGTCTGTAGTTTTATATTTTAAAGATCTTTGTTACACAGTTTATGCCATATACAAATTATCAATTGACAAATAATTAGGATACAATACAAATTCAACATTAGAACTACACCTAAAAAATTCAATCTTTTCACAGCAAAAAAATGTCAGAATTTTTGCCACCTCTGGCTCTCAATCATAAACCACGATTTTATCTGTACAGTAATGTGGAAAAAAACATTCTAGCTCGTTGCACTTGGATTGTCAACAACACAAATCCAATTATCCGTTACATTTTCTGGGTGACTACCTCACGAAAGGTTGGCGGTTCAACCCACCCAGCCGCTCAGCGGGAAAAAGACCTAGTGATCTGCCTCCTGCTTCTGTAAAGATTACAGCCAAGAAGACCCTATGGGGCTGTTCTACACTGTCACATGGGGTCGCCATGAGTCAGAATCCACCCCATGGCACCTAACAATAACAACAATCTCATTTCTCAACTTTCCAGTAACAGTTTTTCAATTCACTAAAAGGTTGCTTCAAAGTTCCTATAAAAACACTACTGCTTGATCCACAAAATGACAAAAGGAAATACACAGCTCAGCTTTTCTCTCAAATGCACACTAAACCGATGTCATTAAACGGCTGGGAGCGCACACTGTGAGCACTCACTAAATTACTGCCGAATGTTCAAGAGCCTCAGGTTCAACTAAGCATTAAAAAAAAAATAATCACACCCAATTCCTAAAACTCCAACATAACAACCTCGCCCCCAAATATGCCTCAGAACCCCTCGAGCTCTTTCCGGGGGTGCCAGCTCCTGACAGCCCAGCGGAGTTCTTGGCCTCCACACGCGGTGTCTCCCCCCGCCCGCCGGGCGGCCGCAGGAGGATGAGGTCCGCTCCCCTGGCCCCTTGGTCCCCGGTTTCCTCCGACTTCTGCCTCTCGTCCTCGCATCCTGCCCCTCCCGACCCCACTCACTCTTCATCCTGCATGCGGAAGCTGGTGGCAACCCGTTGCCGACACACGACGGAGAAGAAAAGGGCAGGAGGGTGGTCCCTTGCCTTTCACTCCCCTGAGACCGAGTTCCGCACTAGGACCTCAGCGGTAGACCCTTGATGGAAAGCGTTAGGATCCCGCCGCCATGTTGTATCCTTGTCACCCTAGCAACCGTCAGGCCGGGACCGCCCCAAGGCAGCTGCTGGCGCGTGCGCAAATGCCCCGCTCGTATGGGCGGGCTTTACGTGTACGCGTGCGCAGTGCAGCCCGCCTCCTCCTTCCGGTTGCTAGGCAATCTCCTCTGCAACTTTAAGGAATTCCTAGCCTTTCGGTGTAGGCGACCTTCACCTTCACCGGGATCCCTAAATAGGTCCCAGCCATCGGAGGACTTCGCGATTTGGGACCTAATACACGGAAGATACACAGCCTTGAGCTTCACTGAGCTGGGGCCTCACTGAATAATTGTCAATTAATACCTGTTCTTTGCAGTGTTGTCTTGCAGTTAGTTGAGAATATACTAGTCTGGTACGTGGCAGTTGCTCAGTAAAGTATATTTTTCTTTTTAATTCAACAAATATTTATTGCGCGTCCAATATGGGCCAAACACTTGCGAACACCGGAGATGCAAAAGAGAACAGTGTAGACAAAAGTCCCTGACTTCTTGAAACTTTTGTTCTAGCTGAATGAATGAATATACGAATGAACTATATGCAAATATGATGACTAAGCAAGACAGTGGCCTGGCTTCAGTGAACTGACAATGCAATAAAAACAATAACCATACTATATATTGGTATAGTATTAAAAAATTTTTTTCTTATTGTGGTGAGTACGTAGATATATAACAAAAAGTCCCTGTATGGCACACAAGGTTTGTGCTTGGCTGGTAACCAAAAAGCTGGTGGTATGAACTCACCCAGCCGTGCCACGGCAAAAAAGACCTGGTGATATGCTTCCATAAATAGTATAGTCAAGACAACCCAATAGAGCAGTTGTACTACGAAACACGTGGGGCCACCAGGAGTAGGAACCAATTCCACAGCCCAAGACAACAACGACATCTCTACATGTGACAAAAAAAAGGCCATGCCAACATTTTTTATGTGTATAATTCAGTGACATTAATTACTTTTATCATTTGCATCCATTACCACTGTTTCCAAGTTTTTCATTACCCTTAACAGAAGCGGCGTAGCATTTTCTAAAGCTGTTTGTCATTCCCCCAACTATTCCATGAGATCAGGTATCCCCACTTTTTCTTATTAATTTTTGAAATTAAAGACATCTGTTTATTTATTTTAAAAATCCAATACAGAAGTATGTAAAATAAAATATGAGCAAATCCTTTCAAAGCACTCCCTTCCATCTTATTCCTCCCCAGAGGGAACCACTGTCAATGGTTGGGTGGCATTCTTCCAGAACTTCTATGCATGTATTTGAATATATTTCCCTCCATAAGTGAACATCAGAGATACTCTTCTGTAATTGTTTTCAATTTATCATATTCATCTTTCAGTATTAGCTCATGTAGAGCTACCTTATACTTTTTAACTGCTGCGTAGTGTTCCACAGTAAAGATATACCCTAATTTTTAAATCATTCCCCTATTTATGTTTCCTATTTTTTACTATTAAAATGAGAAAAGGTGTGTGTCAGGGTTGTATCCTTTCACCATACTTATTCAATCTGTACGCTGAGCAAATAATCCAAGAAGCTGGACTATATAAAGAAAAACTCCACATCAGGATCAGAGGGAGACTCATTAACAACCTTTGGTACGTAGATGACACAACTTTACTTGCCAAAAGTGAAAATTACAGCCTAGAAAACCCCACAGAGCAGTTGTAGCCTGTACTATAGGGTCATCATAAGTTGGAATCGACTCCACCACACGCAACAACAACATCCCTTATTTAACTGATCTCCTGCTGATGGATATCAGGTTGTTTCTAATGGTGTGATCTTTCAAACATTGCTGCAGTGACTAACTCTGTTAATCCATCATTTCACAAGTGTTCACGTGCACCCACTGGAAAAATTCCTAAAGTGGAACTGCTGGGTCAAAGTGTATGCACGTAGAAAATTTTTTTAATCTTTTTTGCTTTAATCGAGGTAAATTTCACACGACATAAAATTACCCATTTCAAAGTGTGGCATTTCGTACATTCACAGTATTGTGCAACCAACACCTCTATCTAATTCCAAAATATTTTCATCACCCCATAAGGAAACCCCATACTCATTAAGCAGTCTCGAAAACATTATGGTAAGTGAAAGAAGCCAGACACAAAAGACTATGTATTGTATGATTCCAATTATAGGAAACATCCAGAATAGGAAAATCCATAGAGACAGAAAGTAGACTAGTGGTTACTAGGGGCTGGGGGAGGGAGGAGTGGGGAGTGACTGCTAACAGGTAAGGAGTTTCTTTTAGGGGTGGTGACAATATTCTGGAATTAGATAGTGATAATGGTTGTACAACATTGGGAGTGTACTAAAAACCACTGAACTGTGCAAGTTAAGATGGTGAATTTTATGTTACGTGAATTTTATCTCAATAAAAAATACATGAAAAAATAAAGGACGGTTATTGCTGGTATTAAGATTGTTAGTGCTGTCTATTGACTCTGAGACGCCATATCTAATCTCACAAAACCACAATGATTTGATCTCTGCCTTCCCTATCTCCCTGTGGATGATGAATAAGGAAGACCAAAGAAGAATTGATGCCTTTGAATTGTGGTGTTGGCAAAGAATACGGAATATACCATGGATGGCCAAAGAACCAACAAATCTGCCTTGGAAGAAGTACAAACAGAATGCTCCTTAGAAGCAAGGATGGCAAGACTACATCTCACATACTTTGGACATGTTATCAGGAGGGATCAGTCCCTGGAGGACATCATGCTTGGTAAGTAGAGGATCAGCGAAAAAGAGGAAGACCCTCAATGAGATGGACTGACACAATGACTGCAACAATGGGTTCAAGCATAACAACGATTGTGAGGATGGCGCAAGACTGGGCAGTTTCGTTCTGTTGCGCATAGGGTCGCTATGAGTCAGTACTGACTCAATGGCACCTAACAACAACTATCTCCCTGTGGTCTTTCCCCTTTTGTGGGCATTTATGTCCTTATGTCACATTTATCTTTCTCTCACTGTCCCTTGCATGTTCATTTCTTCTTCCCAGGTAGATTCTAAGCTCCTAGGGTCTTTTATCTCCCCAGCAGGGCAGAGCTTGCTACTGGATAATCATAGAGTATGGGTTACATAGGTGAACAAGTGAACGCACTGGGCAGGTCAGACTCATCGTTCCAAACCCTGAGTGCTGATAACTTTTCTGCTGTCCTTCACAGTTGACAAGTGGCTCACGGAAGTGAAGTGGTAAAGGAGACCAGGTTGGTCTTGCATAGATGAGAAATTAGAGCCTGATGCCCTCTGTGGGTAGACACAGCCTCTGTGGCATGTTGTCCAGGTGAGCAGGGGCTACTGGACTTTAGCCTTCACCTTTCACTTTTCAACAGGACATCCTGGTGTGCAACCTGCACAATGTACCCAGAGGCCCTGGCAAGGGGTCCTCCAGAATGGAAAATCAAAAGATCCAAACCTGGGAACTTAGCCAAACCCGCTGCCGTCAAGTCAGCCTCATAGCGACCCTATAGTACAGAGCAGAACTGCCCCATAGGGTTTCCAAGGAGCACCTGGTGGATTTGAACTGCCCACCTTTTGTTTAGCGGCAGTAGCTGTTAACCACTATGCCACTAGGATTTCTGGGATCTTAGCAGGAAGACAAAAAAAGAAGGGAATTTGTGAGGGACTTTGTCTAGAGCAGTGATTCTCAAACTTCAGCATGCATCAGAATCACCTGCCTTCAGGTGAGTCTGGCTTGGTAAACCCAGATTGCTGGGCCCCAAACCTCAGTGTTTCTGAGTCAGCAAATGGGGTGGTGGTATGATAATTTCTAACAAGATCCCAGGTGATGCTGCTGTTGCTCCTCTTATCAGGGACCATATTTTGAGAACCACTAGCCTAGATCATTCCTTATTTTCCCTTTAATTCCAAATGGAGCAGGGAATGATACTTCAAGGAGAAAGAGCAATCACTGGGGAATTTCTCTCCCCTTGGTCAAACATTCTTAAATACACACCACATGGAGAGGTCAGCCTTCCTGGTGTCAGCTGTGTGGCCTGGTCACCCCCTTAGCTGGACCACTCATGTCCTAAATGGATGGACAAGTAAAATACAAAAGGCCATACATTGCTGGTAGGAATGTAAAATGGTGCAGCCACTGTGGAAGACAGTTTGGCAGTTCCTCAAAACGTGAAACATAGAATCACCATTTGTTGTCGTTAGGTGCCTTTGAGTCAGTTCCGACTCATAGCAACCCCATGCACAACAGAATGAAACACTTCCGGTCCTGCACCATCCTCACAGTCATTACTATGTTTCAGCCCCTCGTTGCAACCACTGTGTTAATCCATCTCGTTGAGGGTCTTCCTCTTTTTTGGTGACCCTCTACCAAGCATGATGTCCTTCTCCAAGGACTGGTCCCTCCTGATAACATGTCCAAAGTAAGCGAGATGAAGTCTCACTATCCTTACTTCTAAGGAGCATTCTGGCTATACTTCTTCCAAGACAGATTTGTTCATTCTTCTAGGAGTCCATGGTATATTCAATATTCTCTGCCAATACCATAATTCAAAGGCATCAATTCTTCGTTGGTCTTTCCTATTCATTGTCTGGTTTTCACATGCATGTGAGGCGATTGAAAATACCACAGCTTAGATTAGGCACACCTTAGTCCTCGAGGTGATATCTTTGCTTTTTAACACTTTAAAGAGGTCTTTTGTAGCAGATTTCCCCAATGCAATGCATCCTTTGATTTCTTGACTGCTGCTTCTGTGGTTGTTGATTGTGGATCCAAGTAAAATGAAATTCTTGACAACTTCAATATTTTCTCCATTTATCATGATGTTGCTTACTGGGAATCCTTTGTTTCCAACGTTTGCATTCCAATCACCAGTAACTATCAATGCATCTTGATTGCATGTTTGATCAAGTTCAGACTGCTGAAGTTGGTAACGATCTTCAATTTCTTCATCTTTGGCAT